TTTATACTTGTAAAGACATAAAAGTTTCATCCATCATACAGTTTGGGCCATGTTCGTAAAATTTATTGGTGTGGCAAAATCCAATGAAAAAGGTGACAGCTTGATAACCTTTGATATTTAGGAATAACATAAAATTAAGCATTTATGGATTGTAAAATTTTGGATTGTTAAGAGGAAATTAACTGTCATACGTATCTAGTACATCTCAGTTAGCATACACTTCTTGAATTGAATATTTTTAACACCAGTTAACAAAATTTCAAGTATAATATAGGAGATTACAATCATGGATCAAGATTAATTATCAAAGACGAAAAGGAGACCTCTATATTCTTAAGAATCATCCATCCATGCATTTAGCTTTTCTTAATTTGACACTTCACTTTACTAACAGTACTACCACTGCACTGTCTATTGTCGTCAGCAAAAGAAAGAAATGTTAGGATTCGACTTCATTAGCAGCCTCGAGGTATCATGCTGAGGCCATCCACATACATGATTGAGGATCTGAAAAGCATAGACATGCACTCTGATAATAGGAAACATAGTGTTAGGACAGCGGAGGTCACGCGACGCTGGGAGAATGTGCTCTGGAGTTTCTAGAAGGATCATGACTTATCGAGGAATCTCGCGAATGTCCAAGTGTTTGCCAGGCGCCCCCTTTTTTAGTATATAAGCCCGGCAAATAAAGCCAGTGATAAATAGATATGCAGATAGATTGAGGATAGAGATAACTGAGTCAAGAGACCAGTAGGCACGGTAAGTAAAGTGTGTGGATCACAGTGATTTATAGTGTGTTATAAAAGTTGTTAAGTTTAAAGTGACTGTGAAAATTCTGTCTATAACAAAGTTGCATCGAGAAATAATAAACTAGTTTTAATTAAGAAAGGACTTGTATCACTGAAGTTCTTCGGAAAGAATGTATACCGGAAATTATCAAACGACCAGATACGTAACAGTATATTGTGTAATAATAGACATTGTATAAACGAGATGGGTTTATAAAATGTGAACGAAAAGATGTTTTTTCTTGTAAACCATGTATTCTATCATAACAAATAATAAAAACAACAAAATTTAAATATGTTTGTCAAGAACTATTTTATTGCTATCATAGTAATTTTATTGATTTAACTTTTTCTTAACATTTTTAAATAGGTTATAGATACACTTTATTTGTGATAAATCTTGGATGAAATCGTATTTTTCTAGCTTGAAATTTTGTTAATAAATGTTTCAGTATGTGTGATAATTGTCATGTCTGTGATTTTACTTACATATATATTTATGATATGGTGAAACACGTCAGTATTAAGTGATATGGGAGAGGAATTGATATGTTTTTTAGAGTTTCTAAAGAAATTTTCTATGATAATATTAACTCGAATCAATTCAGGGAATTTCCCCTAAGTTTAGTTTTGATAAATAGTATTTTAGTATGTCTTGAAGTTTTTAATAAATGTTTCAGTATGTGTGATACCTGTTAAATGTGTGATTTTACTTACATATATGAATGATACCTGCTTAAAACATATTGGGCTATAATGAAACATGAGTTTTATATAAGAAAATATAAATGGAGACTTGTATTAGATGTCCAAACATACGTGTTAGAAACTGATATTGTGTAATTTATCATAAAAAACAGATAAATATCTAACATTTCATCTTTAGTCTCAACAGAGTAGAATTAATTTACTTTTTGTTAGTGAATTATCAACCTAAGAAGTACCTATTCTTTCAGAATATTTGTAGACAGAACCTGTCTGAACTTTTCACCAATTGTTGTATGTCAGGCACAGTTAATTCTTACTGCGTAGTGAGCATAAAATGTTTTGTTGTAAAGTACGATGAACGAATTGTAGACTAACGTTTTCGTTTAGAAATTACATTAAACATCTTACATACTGAGCTTAACAACTAGTAATATAGACATAATGTAGAATGTACAAAGTTGTATGAAAACTAATCCAAACGAGGCAGTCCAGTGTTTTATAAACTAAAATGTTTGCAGTTTTCGTAAAGATTATTTTAGTATATCTAATTCTTGAAGTGTTGCTAATAAATGTTCCAGTATGTGTGATACTTTATTTTGTGATTCCACTTACATATGATAATGATATCTGCTTATTTAAAACATATTGGGTTATCATGAAACATGTATTTTATATGTCATGAGTATTTTGTATTACTATATAAAGTGAAAAAAAAATCAATAGACTATGTTTAATGACTTTTAAATTCAGTTTAGATTAACTAAATTGATTGTTTTGTTGCATGAAATAGAAGAATACCATACAAACGTTTTTGGGTATAAACTATGGTCATTTGTGAAAAATATATTGGATGCTTCTTTGGTGAATTAATAAGCTTAAATCTTATAGTGTACACAAGTGAACATTTAAAGAGATACAGAAATAGAATTTCTGAATTGTCAACAAATATTTAAACTAATACAAAGTGTACTACTAATAAAGCAATATTATAATTTACTATCTAGAATTGATACAAAGCTTGATTGGTTTGATTTTTCTTGAATTTCACATAAAGTTACACGAGGGATATATTAGCCACCGACCTAATCAGCCTCAGACAACGGGAAGTCCTTTCCAGACCCCGCAGCTAAACCCTAACGCAGACATATCCAGTCTTGTTAGAAGTCACATTCCAGACATGAGTGTCAGCAATAGGGGTGATTCAGTAAGAAGGAAGCCACAGGAATTCGATGGAAAGGCACCGTGGGAATCACATAGAGCACAGTTTGAGCTCCTGGCAGAGATGAATGGATGGACAGAGAAGCAGAAAGCAATATATCTGGCAACGAGCTTCAAGGGACAACCACTGGAAATACTTGGACAGTTGACAGCAGCCGACAGACACAACTATAGAGCACTCGTAGCTGCTCTAGAACTCAGGCATGGAACCCAAAATCAGTCCGAAGTCTACAGGGCTAGGTTTAGGACAAGACTCCGTGTTAAAGGGGAGAGACTGCAAGAGCTGGTACAGGACTTAGAAAGTATGGCACACAAGACCTACCTAACTGTGCCACCTGATCTCCTCAAGTTCATGCTGAGAGATCAGTTTGTAGACGCCTTGGGTAGTCCACAACTAAAGATACAAGTAAAGCAAGCACACCCCTCTACTATGCAGGATGCAATGGTCAGAGATCTTGAATTCGAATCCTATGTTAAGTCCAGCACAAAGGTACCAAGGTTGGTACAGTCGTGTGGATTCAAGGCCAGAAAAGGTCAACTTTCAGAGAAGTTTGAGGGACTTTGCTGGCACTGTAACAAACCTGGCCACAAGATAGCTCAATGCTGGAAACTTCAACACAGGGGAGATGATACAGCTGGAAAGGCTGCTACCCAGAAAGGCTGTTGGAACTGTGGAAAGCAGGGACATATGAAGAGCCAGTGTAAGAAGAATACTACCAATAAGTCGGTCTCGGGGAAACCAGTAGTGGTTCGTGTTGAGGGACGCCTACCAACTCCCACCGTGAAAGTCCCAACAGCTAAGTGTAAAATGGCAAGCACACATAGTGTCTACGTGAAAGGAAAGCTGGATGGCCAAAAGTACAACTTTGTCATAGATTCTGCATCTCAGCAAACCCTGGTGCTAGATCACAAAGGAGTACCACAAGCCATACAGAAGCTTTGTGGTGTCACAGGACATTGTGTAAGGTTGTGGGGACCAGTGTGTGTGACTATTGAGCTCATAGGCATGAAGAACAGACACAAAGTATACTTGGCTGACTTTGAAGACCCATGCATACTAGGGTTGGACTACTTACTACCGAGGAAGTGTGTAGTTAATATTGATAAAATGACATTTGGGAACAACAAAGGCCAAATTCTGGTAAGTGTTAAAAGAGAGGTTGGACTAACCACGTGACATCAAGCTGAAGTCAAAGTGACTGAAGGAGTTGATGATGGTGAAGTGGAACCAGCTATAGATATTAAAGCAGAGCAGGAGAAAGACCAAGATTTGAAGCCAATAATTGATTTTCTAAAAGCAAGTGTTTTGCACCCTGCTTGGGAGAAAGTGTCTAGCTTAAGCCCTGTGACAAAGAACTATTGGGCCCAATGGGACCAATTGAAGCTTGAAGATTGTATTTATCTCCGGAGATGGGAAACTGCAGATGGGAAAGTGACGACGTGGCATATCATATTGGCATTCAATATATCATGTAGCTTCCACAATGCACAAGATGTCAGAATAATACAGAAAAACACGTATTCATTTCAGGTTCTATGTATAGTAAACCTCCCGTTAAATACAACAATAACACCTGTACTTACCCGTAGGGACCAATTGAAGTAGCTTCTAGGTATAGTAAACCTCCCGTTAAATACAACAATACTACCTGTACTTAACCGTAGGGACAAGTTGAGGTAGCTTCTATGTATAGTAAACCTCCCATTATATACACCAGTAATACTTGTACTTAACCGTAGGGACAAGTTGAAGTAAATTCTGTGTACAGTTAATCACCAGTTAAATACAACAATAATACCTTCTCTTAACTGTAGGGACAAGTTAAGGTAGCTTCTAAGTATAGTAAACATCCCGTTAAATACAACAATAATACCCATACTTAACCGTAGGGACAAGTTGAGGTAGCTTCTATGTATAGTAAACCTTCCGTTAAATACAACAATAATACCTGAACTTAACCGTAGGGACAAGTTGAGATATCTTCTATGTATAGTAAACCTCCCGTTAAATACAACAATACCTGAACTTAACCGTAGGGACAAGTTGAGATATCTTCTATGTATAGTAAACCTCCCATTAAATACGACAATAATACCTGTACTTAACCGTAGGGACAAGTTGAGGTAGCTTCTATGTATAGTAAACCCCACCTTTAAATACAACAATAATTCCTGTAATTAACGACAAATTGAGTTAGGGTCTGTATATAATAAACATTCGTTAGATACAACAATGATACCAGTACTTAACGGTAACTTGAAGTAGGTTCATCGAACAACACAAACCTGGGGCTTCCTTCGACGTAACCAAGACCAGGTTCAGACGCCGAGGCGGCATCTTCCAGCTGCCGCTACTGATTTTAACTACCTTCGTGGAAATCTGTCCTACCATGCATCACTCCTCGTAGCACCTATAATCTATTGTCGTTCTTTTTTAGAGGTGTTTACCTCACTATCACTACTGGTGAGACCCGCCTCTCTGTAAAAACAAACTACAAAACCAAGCTCCATGCCGTCCACCGTATTCATGCTAAAACTACAGGTTTACCGACGCACTTCATCAAACTTGTAACTACCTCAAAAAAACATAGCTGAAATCATCCTAAATAATGCAGTCTCGTACCATATCTTTCATTCTAAAGCTGAAATGGCACGTCGTAACCGACCTCTTCCCCGGTCTAATCAGCCACTACTGACTCTCAGAACCAACACTCAGACACGTACGTTATCACCAGTTAATTCTTCCACCTCAACGAGCCAGACATCCCTAACCCCGAAGTTAGTCTCAACCTCCGATCAGTCCATTTACACCGAAACAACAACAACAAAAAAACCAGGACTAATCGTCCTTAACTGACGTCTGCACCTTCGCCACACAATCTACTCAGACAAAACCTTTCCAAAGGAAAAAATTCACTCAAATTCTTGAGTCCTTAGAAGTTCAACCTTCCACATCCCATTATGCCAAACCTTCCGGCCGCATCCACCCCGTCGACCAGCGTATTTCAACAATTACGTCCATTCCCCAAGAACAGATAGCACTACAGTTGAGCCAAGTACACAGTTCTCCTTTTTCTGCCATCCCCTGTCCAGTGATGATGAAAGTTCACACGTCATCAATACTTATCATAAACATCGTTTAAAAATCTGTATGTCAGGAATGACTTTATGAAATATTAACCCTTTAACTGTTGCCTCCTGCCTTCTCCAAATCTGTATAGCCTTATAAGACACTAACTGGCAATTATTGACGTCAGCTAGTGAAAGTGGGTTTTCTCGGGGTTCTCCCGCTCCAACCCCCCCCCCCCCACATCTAATTCTAGGCGATAGATCTACAGATCCCCTTTCTTCCTGAAGGACCGTAAGTCCCATATCGGCCGATTTTTTCATGCATTCATATTAGTTTTTGTTGTGAGCTTCCTTGTTTTTCTTTCCGCCTTTTGCTTGCTGCCATATCAAATCTTCGCTGTATACTGTATTTTGCCCCCCAGTG